TATATTTCTAAAGATGCAATAAATATTATTATAGGAAGTTTAGACTGCATGAGTATGACACTGAGAAACAACCAATCTAAAACACAAGTACAAGTACTTGAGTGATAAATATGATTATATTCAAGTTTTTAAAATTTAATCAGTACTGATTACAAATTTTAAAATATTATGAGTGAAATAAATAGCTACCTGGCTACATCGTGTATGTATATATATAAGGCATTCCAAAATTAACTGAGTTAAATACCCTGAGTGAACCAGAAACGCACCTCATACGCACTCACACCATGAGCACCACAAATGCACCACAATGCTTCAAGAGGTGCCATTTGACGTTTGTCCCAACCTCACATCTTTCAAGATGTGTACTTCAAGTGCACCTCAATTTGACTTCAAATGCACCAAAAATTGTGCGGGAGTTGAATGCACCAATAAATACAATTCTTATGCATTTTAGGTGCATTTCTGGTGACTTTAATTTCAGAACTGATTTTTCTTAGGAGATGAAGAAATGCTATATAAAATATTGAATATAAAGATACTCACTCTGTAACAATGTTGAGGATGGAGGAAGCAAACACACGAAAGTTATAAACAGCTCTAGGAATGTCAACCATCATGGCCAATGAAACTGGTTTTCCTTGATCACGCGACTCCATCTTTGCAAACTCTTCCAACTGAGATTCAAGAATGTCAGCGATTTTATTCATGATCTTAGACCGTTCTGCTACTGGCGTGCAAGACCATCTGGAACACAAATAAAATGTAATCTTGATTGAAAATTCTACATTGAAATTCACAGTAAAGAAAAGTATATTTATGAAAATGTAAAAAAGACACACAGAAAAAAAATAATTAAAAAAAATCTAACTCAAAAAATTGTTCATAGTAGCCTTTTATTATGCAAATTAGGTAACGAATATGCACAGATTTTAACCCAAAATTAATTAGGTCTGTACATCATCCTGGAGCATCTATGTATATTGAAATCTGACCAGCGGTTCTTTAGATATCAATGGAACAGACATACATATGCATACAGAAGAAAAAAATATGCCCAACAAAAGACCATTTTAGATTTTGAGGTCAACAGGTCAAAGTTAATAGTATAATTCCAATAAAAAGTTATCCAAGACCGCATGCCCGAGATCTATAGTTCAGAAAATGTAAAAATTTTGGAGTTTTTTACAATTAAAATGGTCTGCAGCCAGCCTACATCGACTCCCTACAAAATAGACAAAATGTCTGCGGTTACACTATATGTTATACCCCGACATCAAACTGCATGAACAGGTAACTCACAATTCGAACGCTCGTTTCGCGGCGTCTACTGCCAATCCGACTTCTTTCTCGCCACTGTCCGGAATTTTCGCCCACACTTCTCCTGTTGATGGATCGTAGCTATCCAGATGTTGTTCGGTAGCCACAAATTCACCGTTGATAAAGTTTTCCAGGTACAAGTGCTCCATCTTTCGTCGTTTGGTCTGCATGCGGACTGACAACACAAGCACGCCCAGCGGTAAAGGTCAGGAATGGGTCAAAGGTCGAGAGATCGGAACGCTGAGTGCCCTCTCAGAGTAAAATATTGTTGACTCTGACCGGGGCTCTGACACACTGATTTTTAAATAAAATGTTTTCGATAAAATACGGACTTTTGGAAAAATCATAACATCCTTATTTTAGAGAAAACACTTTATTTTTGAACTAAGCTAACTTTAGTCCATACATTTAAAAACGCTGTTTTATCGTTATGTTCGAACGTCTCTGCGCATTAAAAAACTGAATATTGAACTCCACTTCAGTAATTATTTGTATAGTTCATGAATTCGCATACTACCCCTGTGGTTGTTTTAAGGCGTCTACTTCTACTCTGCCGCGGACTAGATATAATAATATTAGCACTGGGCCCCTCCCTGTACAGGAATGTTGTTTTAGATAAATGCATTCAGTGTTATTCTTCAACAAGATGAATAAATATACTCACATTAAGACAGTATATTGGAATTTTGATTGTCGGTAATTTTTCAAATAAATTCCCAGAAAATTAATATAGTTAACTAAGCATTGATTCGCCCTCACGCACAATCGTGTAATATTTCTGAGATATCGAACGTAATTTCTCCACTCGTGTGGGAGAATACTAGAACTACCTTGAAATGTGTACAAACTGAACCCACTGAAAGTTGTATTGTCGGAAAAATGAGTATGAAGCCTTTTACATGTAATATGTGAACTGTCAAAAATACAAAATCAAAGGAAGTAGTTATTTCGCGGAATATTAATATTCTCATCAATGGCACGAAACTAAGGCACGTACGTTCATGTAGAAAATACTTACATTTCATAACTTAATTGCTACACACAATACACATTGGACATGACTATACAAACAAAAAAGTACTGTTTGATAACGCATTGTGAAAGTTACGCTACTTTAATATCAGGCTTTCCGTTCAGGTATGGCGTTCATTTTTTTTCTTTATCGATTTGTGCACCCCTGTTTATGGATTCTAGAGGCTGTACACGTCATGAAATTGCCTCGTACAATTTTTTGTTTGTTTTTAATTTTCTTCACATTCGAGGAGTGTGTGGTTTCCGATAATTTCATTCTATAGTTTATCGAAAAAGAACTTTTTTGAGGGCAGGGAACGATTTTTCTATTGCTTCTAGGCAGGGAAATTTTGCAGGTTTCTAAGTTTTGATATTTTTTGTAAAAACTTTATTGAGTGTCTTTCTAGTTTTTTTTGAGGACACATCATTTTGTCATAGTTTTATGTATATAATAGCAGAGGTACCTCTGATAATATATCTTATATGATAATAGTTGTTCTATTCAAAATAGCTATTTTATCTATTTACTTCTAATCATAGTTTATTGTATATGATGTATATGATATATCAACAATTATTATTACTATCAAGGTAAACTCTAAGTATAGGAAGGGAGGGAGAAATTTGGATAAGGAAATACTACACATTTCTGGAAAGAGGGGAAAATTCACTGATACATTTTGCGGAAAGAAGAAAATAATGTGGATGGGAACCAGACATTTGACAATTGAAGATAGGCTAAACAAAAATCAATATTTGATGTAAAGCTTTTTTTATTAGAACTAATCCGATCTTTTCAATTGTTTTCCGAATAGCCAATATGGAACTTCTTCTTGAATTTATATAACGACTATTTTATCACAGCGTCAGAGCGAACTTTAAACATTACAAATTCCACCAGCGATGCATGACAGGATTTACTGTAGTAAAGACAATAAATAACTGATGTGTCTAGTATCAATCAGTAGATTATAAGTTAACGGCTTTGAAGTTACTCAAAGTTCAAACGATTTCAACTAAGCCGATAAAAACAACTTTAATGAACACACTGGAATTTGTAAGAAGGTAAAGTGAATGTAATTTGTTGACCCAACCAATTCATTTGACACTATATTTAGATAGAGTTTAATTTATGAAATTATACAAAAGTGAATTAACCAGCAAATTTGTAAAATAGATTATTTACATAT